GAGGGAGGGGGACTTGGTTGGGGGAGGGGGAGGGAAAGGGGAGGCGGCGGTGGGGAAGAGACAGAAATCTTTAATAAATAAATAAATTAAAAAAAAAAAAAGTTTGAGGTCAGACATGAATCTTTGTCTCAAGGGTGGAAACACTTTCAATTTAATCCTGTCACTAATTTTCAGTGCCTCTGAGGTTGGAATTCAGTATCTATGCTGTGATCTTGGCTCCTAAAGCAGAGACACTTCCTAGTGAAACACCCAGGAGGTTTAGGATGAAACTGACTTCTGCCTCCTTCTCTATTCTTGAAATCATGTTTGTGGGCCAAACCACTGCTCAGCCGTATGCATATTGATGTTAGTGTGTCTAAGTACCCATAGTCCTGGCCTCTGTTTAATTGAGGCCTGGAAAGAAAGAAGAGCATGGAGGGTGCCCCTGACAGCCAAGGTCAAAGGAAAATAATCAAAGGAACCACAGGTTAGTAATTATTTGGCTACACTTGTTAGAGTGGTTGTATAACAATTCCCTGAAGCACAGGTGAAGAGGTCTGTGTATGGGTACCTCCCACTGGCCCTGTTCCTAGCTCTTTATAACATGAGTATAAGGTAATGATTCACAAGCTTAATGGGATGGGGAAATGTAGGTTGGTAATAAGAATATTTCCATCTTCCCTAGCTCCATGCCCACCCCCATCCTTGTGCCATGGAGACCTTCAGTTTTCTTCTCTGACTGGTCTTTCCTTTACCATTGTTTCGCACTTAAAGGATGTGATTCTAATGTGTCACAGGGCATGACACATTAAAATAAATGAATTAAGTTTTATCTCCTTGGGGGATAGGAAAAAAATGGTACCAGTAATTCTGAAAAAGAAAAACAAGGCAGTCATTAACAGAAGCCTGTTTTGTTCAGGCCTGTTAAGAAGCTTGGGGGCAAGAAAGATGATTACAATCATGTGGTCAGAAATTGCCACCGGGAGAAAGTCGAAGTAATTGGGAAACCTGTTTATTCAGGTGAAGGCTAGTATGGGTAGACATAATGGTAGGGTTAACCATGGGAACTGTTCAAGGAAAGGAATAGTGTAATCTAGAGAGGGCTGGTAGAAAAATGGGATAGGAATGGTGGATCCAGCATACTGGAAAGAACCATATAAAATAGAGCTAAATTAAAAACAACTTAACTAATATCAAATGCTTGCTACCAGAGCTGTGGTATGCATCATAAACATTCATTTTTTTTTAGTTTATCTTTATGAGTATTTTGCCTTTGTGTATATATACTCACTGCATACCTGCCTGGTCCCCAAGAAGGAAAGAAAGTGTCAGAGCCTTCTGGAACTGGAGCCACTCCAGTTCATGAGCTACTATGTGGGTGCTGAGAACTAAATTACTTTTTGTATCAAATCAAACTGAGTTGACAGAGAATGGAAGGCCTTGTCCATAATCCAACAGCTAACAAGGGGTTAAACAAGCAGCTGCCTCAACCCCCTGAGCTATGCTTTTAGCCATGGTTGTTTATGCTTTTTCCCAGAAGAAGAGGAAAAGGGAGGGATCCGTGGGGTTTTTCCACTACATGGTGTCTGAACAGAAATATTCTACACAAGAGGCTTCCTTGTCCCGGATTGTCCTTTCTCTATTAAACAAAAGCAAATGCAAGTCTAATGAACATCCATTGTGCTCCCTACTGTATGACTAGGAGCACTAGGGCCAGGCCTAGTAAAAGGTTGTAACTAATGCCTAACTCTCCGGTCCCTACAAAAGTCCTTCCATCTCACAGAAACTTCCGTGGAAATCTGGAACACACTTTTCACTCAATAGCCTATGTTTTAAAAATAGACAAATAGACTTGGGAAGACCAACATTGTACCAGGGAGTTCCCTCGCTGTTTGCTTTCCTTAGCAGTGAAAAGGAAACTTTAAATTCTACATTCCTGCATCACATAGTCACAGTGTGATCATAGGGTTTGTGAGGCTCTGAGTGTGAAGGAGCCCACCCCCCCCACCAGCCTCCCTTCAACAGGATGCCACCCTGCAGCCTCCCCTCATGAATTAGAAAACAGTTGAGATGTGGTTTTGTTCAGTCTTTTGAAATGGACATATCACTGTAAATTAACCCTGAATGTTCTTACTTAGCACTTTGCACTGCTTAAGAATTCCTGCTTAAATGTCAGGCATTCACGTGATATTCACTGTTTCCATATAAGAATGTTCTTTATAACCATTTTCTATCTTTTCCATTGTGGTGCACTTATTTTTAAACATGACTTTAAGCGTTATTTTATTGTGGATAATATGTTTTTTTGAGATAGAAGTCTTACTGTTTCCTAGGAAAGCCTCATGTTACTGAACTAGACTCAAATGATCCCCTTGCCTTCAGCCTCCTGAGTAGATGAAACCGCAGCTGTAAGTACTGTGGCTGGTTCTCAAGGGACAACATCACAGTACTGCTTTGAGAGGGGTGGGTATCACAAAAAACAGAAACAGAGGGGGTTTGCTTGGAAATCAGTTTTATATTCGATGCCTGTATGTCCAGATTGTTTAAATGGGATTGAAACTGATGTAGAGTGGGGACTGGGAAGATTGAAAGCACCAGAGAGTCTAGTTTTAAAACCCATTTCTTACTCTAATGATGGGAAGGCTTTCTGGCTCATTTGGAATCCCTCAGTCCTGCTGAGTGGTTGCAATAAATGACCCAGAACTAGCAGGGTTGATGATCAACATAGTGAGGGAGTTTTCAAGGACCAAGGAGGGGGATGCCAATCACACGGAGAGGGGGCGGAGGTAAACTGGCAGCATGACTTTCAGACTTTAGCGGTCATCCAGGAGCCAAGACTGCAACCAGTTTCCTGATGAACACAAGAACGCATCTGGTCACTCGCAATCTGCCTTTGACCTATTTCAAACCTAAGTTTCTCATTATGGACTGGAAAAAAGTCTAATTCAGAGGACAAATGTATCCTTCAATGCCTTTCCGTTAGGGGCAGAGGGGGAAAGATTAAATACATAGAAAGGCTTGATAACCAAAAGGAAAGGAAGAAGAAACAAATGGGGAGACCATGTGAAGAAAAATAGAGAAAACGGAGGAAACTAAAAGGGAAAAGGAGAGTGAAATCCTGGAATTTGAAGGCAAGAGGAATAGAGGGAGAGGGATATTGATTTATTGCTGAGAAAAGTTCTCTCTTTAGGAATTCTGGACCACGAAGATCCACATGGCACTGAGCATGGATAGAATACAGCAGATGCACCCAGCATGACGCTTCTGGACCAGGTGTTCAGTCTCATGGCAGTCCGCACCCGAGTGGTGATGACCTCTGTCCTGGTTTACTTCATCCAGGTGAGTTCAGCTGTGAAAAGGTGAGAAGAACCTTTCTTTTGTTTATTTATTTTTTATTATTATTATTATTATTATTATTATTATTATTATTAGATATACTGACTCTGAGAGGAGATGGATGGGATAATAAACAGATGAAGTGAGGAAAGAGTATCACACATTGGTCCCTTAGTACTGAGGAGTCTTGTTTGTGTGTGTGTGTGTGGGAGAGAGAGAGAGAGAGAGAGAGAGAGAGAGAGAGAGAGAGAGAGAGAGAGAGAGAGAGAGAGAGAGAGGTGGGAGGGGGGAGAATGAACAATGTCCATGGAAAGAGTGACAGAAGAGAAGTTAGGGCAGTCAGAGACGGTACATGCTGCTACATCCTGCTTTAACAAGGCTGGTAAGATTCAAACTGAGTTCCTCTTGCTTACCCATTGAACCATCTCATTAGCCCCAGACTCTTTAATACTATTTTAATATTTTAAACACTTTATTTTACCCCCATGGTGAAAGAGAAGCCCGTGAGTCATCCATTTGCTGAGAAAAGGCTAGATAGAAGGAGTTTCTGGATAAACACCAGGGCCAAGTTCACACAGTAGGAAGTCTAGCAGGGACAGAAACAGTGCAGAAACTAAGCTGGGTCACATTCCTATGCAGGAAGCAGCCTGTCTGCTTGACTTCCCACACAACTTAACTGATACATGAAAGTACATTTTTTTTCTTGTATGTTCTCTTGGCTTCCTCTTTTTCTTCTCATCATTCCCCTTCTTTCTTTGTAACATCTTGTCCCTCTATTGTTCTTCTTGTGTGATGAGTTACTGATATATTAAAAACTGTTCCCAAGTTCCAACCGGGCAAGGACAAGAAAGACAATCACAATGACCTAGGGGATGGGTCAGGAGATTTCTAGGGTGACAAACTGAAAGAGGGGTTGTCCATCATTCCCAAAGGTAGTGATGCTCAGCCACTATCCAAACCACATATAAGATCCCTGCCCTCACAAAGAGCTTGTGACTTGTGAGAAGTAGCCATAGGCAAATGAATGAACAATGTCACAAGCTATTGCAGACCAACCCTATGGCAATGTCCTTGTCTTTACAACTAGGTCTGAGACAGCACAGGCCTAAGAGATGATTGACAGGCTGCTGAAGGCTGCAGATGTGACCATTTTCCTGTCTGTGATTATTTCTTTCCCACAGCTTTCTGGAGCCAGATGTGAGGAGAATTGTGTCAACGCTGAACAGTAAGTGTCTGAAAGTTCAAGCTGAGAGCAAAGAAAGACAGACAAAGCACCAACACCCAAACATAGGCTAAAACGTCAGTACATAGCTCTGACTTCCTCTTCTACTTAAGTGGGCACCACCCACCCGCACAGACATGTATGTCATCCGAAGTACTCAGAATAACCCGGCCAATAGCACTTTTTTGTGAGACTGTCTTCCCATCAGCGTAGCACAAGTAGTTTAGATACACGTAGTCAAGGAGACCTGCAAATGGCTTCCTTAGCTGTGCTTTCCAGTGATTCATCAGGGCAGACTGGGTTCAACAGCCAGTCACTGCCTTATCTCAGGGTGATTCCCATAGTAGCAGATCCACTTCTAATCCTTAGCTTCAAATGAGGCCGGATGTAACAATCCTTTTCATCTAAGGAAAAACACACATTCACTGTAGAACCATTTCCCTGAAGCCAACTCTCTCAGATGCAAGGGATATGAGGCATAAGGATCACCATGATGACTTGACATGTGTATATTTGTTATTGGCTATGAGACATTTGAGGATCTGAACGTCTGCCACTATGTGGAGTCTAACATAAAAGTGAAAGGTTTGAACAAATAATGAGTGTGAGGAGCAAGATGATACACTATTCCAGGGGAAGCACAAGCTGCATTTTCTATGGAACTGTGGCCAAAAATGGAATACAAGAATAGATCTCAATACACATTTAGTAGACAGTGTTTCTTTAAATTATTATTTTAATGACAAAACTGCTACATCTTTAAAGATACACATGTTCCTCTGACTCTTGATTTTAGTCTCTCCCACACTGTCCTCCTTGTCATCCCTACAGAGAAAGTTTACAACCGCCCAAGCTAGTTAGCTCTCCTTGTGTGAATCCGGCCTGTGCCTTGTCTCCCTTCCTGTTTCATCTCAGTGCATGTGCCCATCTGACCTTAGATGTGAAAGGGTAGGCCCTTCATAGGGGTAGGATGTTGCAAGAACTTGTGAAATATAAATTACAAATGTGACCTCTTTCATGCCTTCAACTGACATTTTCCTGGTGTGTACATTTCATTGGCCGCATGTTCATATGAATTTAATGTTCCTGTCTGTTTTCCAAGTTACTTCTTAAAAATGTGTATGCCAAATTCATTCTTGACAATTTCCAACAGAGCTGCTCACAGTAGCCATGTGGACATTTTCTATTCCCTTTCCTTTATGTAAGTTTAGAAAGAATTAGGTTTCATCATGCCATTTTTCAAACAAAATTTGTTATAATTTTTTCTCTTTTCTTCTTTTCCTTTTTCAGGCTCCTTAATTCTTTTCATAGCCACTCTTTTTAACGTAGTATTTAAGGACCAGAAAATGATTTGCACAGCAATGCCACTTTTTTATACAAAACTCTATTCAACTAGTTACATTGGACTTTTAAAAAAGTTTGTCTTAGCTGAGCATGGTGGCACATACTTTTAATCCCAGCAATGGGGAAGGAAAGGCAGGAGGGTCTCTGTGAATTCCAGGTCAGTCTGATCTACAAAGTGAGTTTCAGATCACCCAAAGCTACAAAGTGAATCATTGTGAAAAAGAAGGAGAAGAAGAAGAAGAAGAAGAAGAAGAAGAAGAAGAAGAAGAAGAAGAAGAAGAAGAAGAAGAAGAAGAAGAAGAAACTTGCCTTGATGTTTTTGATTATAGCATAGTATTAAATGTAACAACATGATCATTTCAGCTCACACTATTGATTTTTAATATAATAAACTTCATTCTTTCTCCACAGTTGTTTGTCCACTGACTGGGTGCATCTCTGGTATATATGGTAAGTTTGAGCTATATAATACCCTCAAAGAGACTTCCTTTTTCAGGTGCATTTTTTTTTCAGTTTTTTATATGCCAACTATTAGTACAAGTAAAAGTGTAGCTGTATTTCACAATATAGCTTTCTTAGTTCATCTCTAACCTATATGAGAATACAGCATGATTTCCTATTTCAATATACTCTCTTCATCAACATTGAGGGGTTATAGTGTCTTTCCACCAGCATGTGCTTAAGAAATACTTTTGCACAGTGGAGTGAGAAGCAGCTACTTCAAACTATCTTCAGTACTGTTTGCCCTCATGACTGACAGTCTTGCTGAAAATTAATGACTGATATATGCAAAATGAAATCAGAAGATTAAAGCCATATAAAAATTGAATAGCGATCAAGATCATACATTAAGGGGTAGTTATGTCAGAGCCAGAAAAGAAGCCCTTTACAGCTTGGACTTAACAGGTGGACTCTTGCAGGTTGCTGGTGGTAGTTGGTGAGTTGCTTCTCCTGTGCGGCCTGACTTCAGTATGCTTCCGCTGCTGTCTAAGCCGTCCGGAAAATGGGGAAGATGGGGCCCCACCACCCTATGAAGTGACCGTCATTGCTTTTGACCATGACAGCACTCTCCAGAGTACCATCACATGTGAGTGCACTCAACTTAGATAACCAAGAAAAGGGGCTCAGGTTCAAAGAAGTACTAAAGGTATGGAGGTGTAGGGAGAACTGCCAGCTAGCATTGTGTGTTTGGGAATTCAGAGTAATTTTAATTGCCAGAAACACATTGTGTGACCTGGGCTATCACTGATGCCTGTATTATCAAGTTTTTTTTTTTTTTTGTCTGCTAATAAATTGATGAACAAAGTAAAATGTTAGAGCCAAGGTTCACCTTCCTTCATTTATTGTTCCCTCCCTTCCTCCCTCCCTTGTCCTCTGCCTGCCTTCCTCCCTCCCTCCCTTCCTCCCTCTCTTGTCCTCTGCCTGCCTTCCTCCCTCCCTCCCTCTCTTTCTCTCTTCTCCTCTCCTCCATCCCTCCATCCTTCCCTTCACTCCCTCCCTCTCTCTCTGTCTCTGTCTCACTCTCTCTCTCTCTTCTTCCTCTCTTTCTTTCCCAATAGAGTCTCATATAACCAAGACTGACTTCTGATTCTCCTACTTTCCCCCCCTTCTCCTCAGGAATGTTGACATTCAAGTGTGTACCATCACCTGGCTGCATTCTCTTTCTTTGCTTTTCTTATATTTTTTGTGAGGCTGGGAGTAGAAGCCAGGATTGCACACAGACTGGAAAAGTATGTTACTTATGTGAGCTCCCAGACTCTTAGATTGTTTTTATTTCAAGAAATAGGACTGGTAAATTGACCAGGTTATCCTTGAATTCAACTGTAGGTCAGGCAGGTCTTAAGATATAATCCTCCTGACTCAGCCTCTCAAACAGTTGTGGTTACAGACCTGCATTACTTGGTCTGTTCTTTATGAAATTATTCTTCCCTAAAAGTGAAGAGCAAAGTCAAGATTGAACGACAGAGGATAAGACACTGTGGCACTTATCATAAGGGCAACATAACCTGTAACTAAAAATTGACAAATATGGCAGGAATAAGTATTGGAAAGAGGTTTTTGTGCCCTGCGGTGGTGGTTCACACCTTTAATTACAGCACTTGGGAGACCTCTGAGTTCTAGACCAACCTGGTCTACAGAACTAGTTCCAGAATAGCCAGAATTTCATGAAGAAACCCTGTCTCAAAAAAAAAAAAAAAGAAAAGAAAAGAAAAGAAAAAAAAGAAAGGAAGAAAGAAAGAAAGAATGAAAGAAAAAAGAAAAGGAAAAAGAAAAAAATTGAGATTGTAGTATTGGGAGGCTAGTACAAAGGGATCTAAATCTGAAGGTGGAGCTGGGTGGAACTCAAGAGAATAGTGCTGCTTAGCTTGTGTGAGGATGTGGCCTTGTTTCCTAGCATAGCAAAACAGCCAAAACCTGAAAAAAGGGATGAATGATAAAAATGCAACTCAGATTATTCAGATAGTAAGAAAGAAGGCTCTCCTGCAGGGTATAAAGTTAGTCATAAAGAATCTTTGAAGGAATTTTTGTAATCTTTGTCCAATGTTGTGACAATGAGTTTGGAAATAGGTTAAAGACAAAGAAAAGTTAGGTCTGATGTAAATCCCCCGTGTCTAAGGACATTACCTTTGTATGTCATCATCTCTATATAGATTGTCTTCTTCCCTCACAGCACTTCAGTCTGTGTTTGGCCCTGCAGCTCGGAGAATACTGGCGGTGACTCATGCACACAGCTCCCTGGGCCAGCTGCCCCCCTCCATTGACACACTCCCAGGCTACGAGGAAGCTCTTGGCATGAGCCGCTTCACAGTGGCAAGGTGCGGGCCGAAAGCTCCTGACCTACCCTCAGTGCCAGAGGAAAAGCAGCTGCCTCCCCCAGGGAAGGACTCTCCTCAGCTGGAACTCCCATCACACTGATGGGCACATTGATGGTATTTCTAATATCTAAGACATCCTGGAGTTGAGAAAGATATATAGAATGCCTTCTCTTGTACCACCCAGAAAGGTTTAGGATATCATCTAGACATTGTTCTGTTCACAAGATAGGTTCCCACTCTTTATTTACAATATACTTTTCTGAGACACAATTTTCTAATTGGAATTCTAACTCCTTATCCAATGGTCAAAGTTTGCATCTCACCTCTAGCTATGTAGATTACCACCAAAGCAGGGGAACATTAAGGTATCTGGAAATCCTTCAACTATGGCATTCATGTACAGTTCCTTCAACCAAATAATACTGCAAATTGCTCTTCTCTCTGCTTGACTGCAGTAACGTTGAAGGGAAACACAATGCAGGCACAGTCATTGATATCAGTGTACCAAACACATGCATCTTTCCTTCAAGGGAATGACCACCATTATACTGAACAACAATGGCCACCTGGACTTTGTAGATTGCAGGGCTGGGGGTGCTAATAAGAGGAGAGATTATAGAATAGCCTGTGCCACATGTCAAAACCTTTCTATCTCTTTGGTCCTATACACAAGTGTGACATATGGGTATAGAGAACAGAAATGGTCCTAGAAACTCTTCAGAGCCTTGTCCTGCAAACATATGCATGCACACATGCAGAGAGAGAGAGAGAGAGAGAGAGAGAGAGAGAGAGAGAGAGAGAGAGAGAGAGACTTGCACTTCCTTTTAGACTAAGAAAAAAAGCATTGCTTTGCTTTTTCCTGTTTTAAGATTTAAGTTTAGAGTGACTCCTAATGGGCCTTGCTGCCATCTAGTGGAGCTGTAGCCCAGAATGCATTTCCTCCATTGAGTTCCTCTGCACCTCTCCAGTGCTCCAAATACTTAAATGCTACCCTAAGCCTAGAACCTTCCACAGTACCACCTTGATGAGTGAGTAGTGCCAGGCAATGTTGGCCAAATACTACCTTCTAAAATACTGTCATCACAATCAGAAAAGTGAAATGTACCCTGGAAAAAACTACCTGGGAAAGTTACTGAAATCTTGGAAGATGGATTTTTCTCATCTCTAAATTAGACAACATTGTACACAACCAAGAACACAAATACCCAAGGCATGATTTGTAGAGTATGTGTGTGTTAGTTACTTCTTACTATTCTTTCTGTTGTCATTTGCTCTTCAGCAGCCTGCGGTGACTCCATTGAGTTTTACATTCTGGTTTGTCCTTTTGCTTGTCTGCTATGTTATTGTAAAGTCATACCTAAAGTGATTTTGTTTTATCAATAAACATGCCTTGATTGAGATAAACAGCCAAAAATCTAAGTTATTCTTTGTAACATGCTCTGCAGATGGGTATTTGAAAAACCTGCCTGTTTTGTAGTGATGAGCTGGGGTTCTCTGGGGGAGAAGATCAGACCCAGGGAAGCACTGATTCATGCTGCACCTCATTAAATACATTCTTGCAATGGTCACTGAAGCCTGGAGGGAAAAGCATGGTATATGAGTGTAACCTGCTAGTGATCAGAACTCCTCAATCACTAATCAGAGTGCCTGGAAAAGCTGTTGACATGTGTAACTTGTTAGTAGCACCAAAGGGGACCTTCTTTTACCCAAAACCACCAGGCAAGCCACCCAATTTTCATGCATTCCACAAAATATTCACTTTCTTTCCTTTTTTTTTCATCTCTTCTTTTGAGGTGGTACTTTGCTGTGTAATCTAGGGCAGTCTCAAAGTTCCTATGCAGGCCAATTTCCTGCTGAACTCTGCCTCTGAAGAGCCAGGATTAAGTGCTGGGATTGCAGAAGTATACCACTATGCTCCACTCAATATCCTTGGTTTTTCATTGCTCAATATAATACAGATTTAAACACATTAAGAGGTTGGCTGACATTAAAATTTCTGCAATTCATTTTACTGTTCAACCTAAGGCATATGCCAATCACCTCAGTCATTTTCATCAGTGTTTCAAGATCTTAATTTCTTTTAATTAGTTTCATACCAATTTTAAAAACTTAAGTCTTGGTTCAATGAAATTACATGATTTCTTCCCAATGCCTACATTGCTGAACAATGCTGGAAAAAGATCTTACAGCCCCACTCATCAAAGCAAAGTTCACAGTCTTAAATACCTCCTGGGCCATCTAGCATTAATGCCATTTTTTATAGTAACTTCTGTATTCCTCTTGATACATATTCAAATATCATTGTCTCTTGTATTTCCCATGCCCCACAATCAATCTACTAATTCTAGGTAGGCTGTTGTCTTGGTTCAGAAGGAAATGAAAACCTTTGGGTAACTTTCTATCCTGCAGCCCCAAGCAACTACACATCCTGTTCCTGTGTGTGGTTTTTTATTTTTATTTTTTATTTTATTCCCATTGATAATGTTGTGCTTTCTCCTCCCTAGAAAGACTATTACTGGGCTGGAGAGAAGACTCAGAGGTTAAGAGCACTGCCTGCTCTTCCAAAGGTCCTGGGTTCATTTCCCAGCAACCACATGGTGGCTCACAACCATCTGTAATGAGGTCTGGTGCCCTCTTCTGGCCTTCAGGCCTACATGTGAACAGAAGATTGTATACATAATAAATAAATAAATAAATATTTAAAAAAAAAAAACAAAAAACAAAAAGACTATTACTATGGTGTTTTGCGTTGCAAAACAAGCAAAACACAGCAGGATCTTTCAAAACAAGAAGTGTTATTTAAGGAATACCATGCCAAGAATAGCAAAGAGCCTGCCAGGGAAGAAGAATGTGTACGACAAAAACTTTGATTCTCATCTCTCAATTTTTTTTTAATTTTATTTTGAGAAATGGTCTCACAAAGTTGACCAGAATAACCTTGAATTTATTCTGTAGGTCAGGCAGGCTTTAGACATAAGATCCTCTTGGCTTCAACCTCTCAAACTTCTGGGCTTACAGATCTGAGCAACCACACCCAGCTTACACTATATTATTTTATATCCTTAAATAAATTGATGATTCGTAGTTTCCTTCAGGTCTTTGGTGACTGTGATAAGCCTTTTCTGAAGGCCTGAACACAAGACCCTAAGTTTAAAGGCTGAAGAAGCTGGAGTTAATGTCAGCAAGTGATGGCAGCTTCATGAAGACATCAGAAAAGGAAGAGGCTTGTTCACTCTGCTGCCCTTCTTGATTTGCTTTCATCCAGGCCACCAGCCCACACTGGAAGGTGTTGCCCACATTCAGAGTGGGTCTTCCTCAGCCATAGTCACTCATCAGTTCTGTCCTGAATCACCCCCCACAGACACAGCTCTAGCCATGTCTCAATCCAGTCAAAGTGGCAACTAAGACCAACCATAACAGTCTGTAAAATAGTTTGTTTTGTTCGTTTTGTTAGAGACTAAAATCACCAAGTCTTCGAGAGGAATAGAGTGAATTAAAATTGCTTTCCATTGTGACCAAGGTGGGAATGTAGAGAAATGCAGGGATTTGAGTTGTACTGGGAACAGGATCATCACATCACAGCAAGCCGATTAGTTGGAACCGTGTGCAAGGCCTCACTGTTTTCCTTCGTTTTGCTCTTGCTTTCTTTTTTTCTTTTTTTTTAACATAGTATTTTATTGATTATTTGGGAATTTCCCATAAAACACCCTGATCATGCTTGCTTGCTTTTTTTGTTGTTGTTGTTGTTGCTTTTTGTTTTTTGTTTGTTTGTTGCTTTGGAGCCTACCCTGGAACTAGCTATTGTAGCCTTGAACTCACAGAGATCTGCTTGCCTCTGCCTCCCAAGTGTTGGGATTAAAGGTGTGCACCAACACCACCCGGCCACACTTGCTTTCTTCGCAGCTTCTTCCACGTAGGGTATTTATGTCATAGTGAAAAGGAGGCAGGAAGCAATGAATTGGAGAAGAGAAAGGGCATATTGTGTGGATTAGTGCTAAGTAATTTGAACATTGAAATATTTCTTTTCTTTTTAATTTTTTTGGTTGTTTTTTGTTTTTTGAAACGGGGTTTCTCTCTATAGCTTTGGAGAATGTCCTAGAACTCACTCTGTAAACTGGGCTGGCCTTGAACTTACAGAGATTTGCCTGGTTCTGCCTCGAGAGTGGTGGGATTAAAGGTGTGTGCCACTATTGACCTGCTGAACTAGAACTTGATGACAATGAGGAACTAGTTAATATCTTTTTCTCAGGAAAGCTCCATAACACGATCACTGTTTTACAAAGAAACTGTAATACACCTTTGAGTCCTTGTGTGAAGTTTGAGGAAAGAGGATTTTCATTCTATCAGGCAGCAGAAAATCCAAGATAAAAATGATGAGAGGGTGAAAAAGAATATGGGGTGTGTGTAAAATGATGGTAATTATCTCTCTTTTTTAACCACATTCTTAGTCGTGCTCAAGTTGTAATCAGTCAGGAAACAAAGACATTGGCTGATTGTTCTCAGACTCTGCCTTCTAATTTGAATCAGTGAAGATTCACTGGCTTTGCTTTCCCAACCCACGCAAACACATCACGGATTTACTCTGCATCCTCTACTGCTTACTCTGGAGTTTCTTGAGATGACCACAGTGATTTTTCTTCCTTTCACATTGATCCAAAATACAGCTCCTCCAAACGGTCTGAAATGAATCTAGTGTGATGCTTGATTGTGAAAGAGGGTCCCTATCTACACAGTTGGACAAAGACCTGACAGTGCAAGGCTCCTCTTGTTACTGGAGTCATCAGTAGGTGAGAACCCAGGCTCTGAAGGCTATGACATTTGACATTCATAAGCCAATTCCCACCCCAAATCCACCTTCCAGGTCCTAACAAGTGGTTTAGGTTTAAATAAAGGGCCAGAAGTATTCAATTTGGAACCTAAGTAATCAGGGCCTACCTTTAATCACCGGATTCCTGTCTTTCCTAAGTGGTGGCCTGGTATGTTTTCAGAACTGAAGACCAGTTCCCCTTCTGGCCGAAGCTAGGCTTCTTTAACCTTTTCCTCTCCCATAATGAGGTTCCAGGAAATTGTCCAATTTCTTGGGGTACATGGTCAATAGTTTGGCTATCAAAGAGGGGTACACAGTGCTTGCTTAGAATAGCTTAATTCCTACAAGCAGGTTTGCATTTATGTGTGGGGATTCCTAAAACAGGTATATAATCTTTCCCATGAGGACAACAGACTGTGCTTTGTGAAGAGTAAGAGTATGAGAGGTGAACTGGGCTGTAGGGAGTAGCTCTCTATGGAGGGGGAGCAAACAGAACCACAAGTTACTCTGCTGTGGCCTGCCACTGGCCCAGGTCTAGGCTAGAAACTGTACTGTAGATTCTTACTTAGTTTATCATATGCATGTGGCTGGCTCTATGGTCCTAATTAGAGGATCAGCTTCATTGATACAACAGTTGTAGATCAGACTTTAGAAAGAGAGCAAACAATGCATTGTTTAGCAAAGTCTGGAGATCATGAATTTTGCTTTACCATTCTTTGGTTAAAATACAATTAGCTAGAAAGTAATAAAGAGCCAGAATGGAGTATCTGTCCTTGAGCAAGCAGAATGGGAAAACAGCTTCATTGATTTATGGGTTGTTCCAAAGTATCAAGTGTTAACTCTGGAAAATATTTGACTTGCTCTGAGTAATGTTGGCCACCATCCTTCCATTGGCATACACACCTTAGACAACCCAGAATTGCACCACTTCCTACCCAAGAATTCCTCACAATTTTAATGTTTGGAAAGAGTACCAGGAAATGAGTATCTGGGTTTCAAAATGAGAAGTAATAAAAATTTAAATACCAAATGGGCAATAGAAGGACAGTTTCTGTGATGAGTAAAGGCTAAAAGAAAATTATTAACAATAATAAATACATAACAGAAAGAAAATTTGAATTACAGAAAATAATAAAAATTCTGAGAATGATATAAGTAGAATGAATCCTGGAAGAGAAGCTGGAATTGTTTTAAGATATTAAATGTAGCCACAAATTAATGGTCTTTCTCTACATTTTAGTTTCTGGGTGTTAACCTTTGAATGTAAATGCTGTTCCTATTCCTTTCTGCTTAATGTCTCTAGCATTCCAGGAATCTAGACTTCTCAGGATTTTCACTTTACACACAAAGTATCTCAACCAGAGTCTTCCTTACACTTGACTACTGGTCCTTTCTCCATAATGACTGTGTAAGTTGTAAAGCTGAATTATCCTTTCCTCCAGACTTCAATAAATACAGGTCCAATTTGAAGGAGACAAATTTTATATCAAGACAAATAATTTTGATCAGAACAGTTTAGTGCAGAGCAGAGAAATATCATCAGTCGTTAAAATTCTGAAGCCAGGTTCTGAGTGTTAAAATTCAGACTCTATTATTT